AGTTAGTGAGGGTGAGAATACTACTTATTAACTGCTAGTTTCAAAAACATGCTGAAGATTCTCAGGATCATTGCCTTACCCATCTTGTGCATATAAATGTATGGCTTTGCCCTTGTGTTTCCTAGCTTTTCTCCTTGCCCTCTCTTCATTGTTTAATCCTCAAGTCTTAGCTTTCCTTTTAATTGTGTTATACCTTTCTATTTGTATTTCTTCTTTTGTGTTCTTATACTAGGGAGACTATACAATATTTACACATGTGGTTCTGATTTATTTCACTTATGAGTGTATCTTCAAGTCGCATCCACTTCAATATAAAGGCTTCGAGTTTGTCATTCTCCTTGTCTCTTTTTCAACACTTAAAGTTCTACAGAGGAGGGCCATCAAGATAGCTCAGCAGCCTAGAGCATCTGCTTATACAAGGGTAGGAACTGGGGTTCAATCCCCAGCACCACATGCCATGCCAGCCCCACCCCCAGGTTGGGCTAAGCCAGCCACAGAGTCTGGGCATAGTGGTGCACACCTGTAATCCTAGTGCTGGGGAGGCTGAAAGCAGGAGGACCACCACAAATCCAAGCTGTAGTGAGAACCTGCATCAACCAAATACATTAAAAAAACAAACAAACAAACAAAAAAAACGTTGTGTAGAGGTGACATAGAAATTTCTCAAGAACCCTGCTTCAATATTCATCCATCTCCCAGTTTCTGTACATTTTATGAATGTATGTGAACATAAAATATATTAAAGTGTTCCAGTGATACAGATACTTCAACAGCCACTGTGTTTCTTTTTTTTTTTTCCCTGAGTAGTTTATTTGAATGTAGTTTCTTTCTAATTTGGTGGCTTGTTATCAACCTCCTGTCATCTAGAAAGAAAATTAACGTGCGCTGATCATGATTTATGAGAAGTCAAAGTCTTAAGAAAAAAGACTTTGTGTGTTGTAAAAACATTGTGTTAGTCAGCAATTGGTACAGGAATGCTACATAAGAACAATGGTGAAACTTTCATTGTCTTCTTTTCTTTTGGTTTTCTTTTTCTCTCTGTATTTAGTACAGGGTCTACAGCATCTCACTATGTATATTGAACTCATAGTGATTCTCCTGTTTTCAGCCTCCCAAGTGCTGGGATTACAGGTGCGCCACCATGCCCAGTCTCAGTTGCCCTCTCAGCATGCCCCAGGGGTGGGGCCAGCATGGCAGGGTGGGGATTGAACCTCAGGTGCTGTGTCTGCCTAAACAGGAGCTTTAATCTGCTGAGCTATGTGGCCAGCCCTCGTTATCTTATTTTCTGTGGGTGTTTGTTTTTTGTTTTTTTTTTTTTTTTATAGTCAAAAAATGCTTTAATTTAATTGATTAAGGACAGGATTTTCTGGATGCAAAAGTTACCCTACAGTTTTGAGAGGGGCTTTCAGGTCTGAATTACAGGCTAAAGGAATAGTGCAGACACTGACAAATTCTTTCAATAGTGGGTCTGAGTTGCTCAGAGGGCATGCCAGCCCATGCAAGTAATTACATCACACTCACTAGCATTGCATTAGCTAGAGAAGATTCCTGTGCAGTGGGAAGGGGAAGTATATTCCCCCACAGCAGGAGAGACTATGTCATGACAGCACAAGGTGTGGCATATAATCCTCATCAAGGAAGTGAGTAATTGGAAAAATAGTGCAATATTTCTGGATTAGAAAGGAAGCATACAAATGCAGGTATGAATATTCTTGGTTTATATTATATTTTACTTGTTTAGTCACAAGTAGAAACTTCCTCTTAAAATGAGTTTCACCTGCTAAATTAATGAGATTATTCATTCACTCATTCATGTTTTGTCTTAAATTGCTGACTATGAGTGGTAGAAAACAGAGGAGAAAAACAATAGTTTGTCTTCTGTGAGACTCATGTTTTAAGTCATCATTTAAATATTCTGCAGGCAGCCGATTACCCGTTTATGTCAGTCATTTTTATGATTCTTTGCTTACCCCAACCCATTGTCCTTTCCTTTCTCACCACAAAATTTCCTTGAATCATCTCCATTTATTTTTGTCTTTCCCATCCTTACAATTAGTGAACAGAATTTGTCTGTTCTAAGTAAGTATTTACAAATCTCTTCACTCTCATTTTTATTTCATTAAGAGGCTTCATTTTTCTTCCAACTTTACCTCAGAAACATCTAGAGCCAAACAGAGCAGAGACTAAGAAGTATCTCGCATGATTACAGGCCTCAGTTGCTGAGTTCTGGCATTCCATTCACTATAGGATGAAATCCAAAGATGGTATATAAAACTTTTTACAGTTTGGCCCATTGTTTTCTCTTGAGAGCCTTTCACTTCTAGCTCTCCTAGCCACCATAGAAGTTCCCCAGTAAGAAATGCTAACTTCAAAACCTATTCCTTAGATAATTTGGTCAGTATTTAGTACAATATCTACAGGGTCTCACTATGTAGATCTGACTCATAGTGATTCTCCTGTTTTCAGCCTCCTGAGAGCTGGGGTTACAGGTGCGTGTCACCACACCCAATCTCAATGGTCATCTCAGGGTACCCTGGGGGTGGAGCTGGCTCAGCACTCTGGGGATCAAACCCAGTTCCTGCATCTGCCTAGGCAGGTACTTTAATACACTGAGCTATCTGGCCAGCCCTGGTCAGTATCTTTAATATTGTCCAGTGTCACCTACTCATCAATCCCAGTTTGTCTTTTGAAGCCAGGTCAATTTAACCTTTGCTATTGGGCTTCTTGTGACTTTCACACAAAGTCAGTGGACATCTCCTGGGGATTTTGCCCAATTGCCCCTTGAAAAATGTATTTTACCTCTTCAGATGGACTGGTGATGTCGCCGAGTAACTAGGGTCCCTGTCTAGCAATCATGAACCCTGGGCTGGCCACCCAGTGCAAAAAAATTACATCATTGCTTCATTTTTTATTATAAAATCACTGTAAGATATTTATAAAATTCAGTTGACATGTAACAAAAGAATTTCCACAGTAGTCACTGTTTTTCTCTGCTTAAGAAAATATAGTCAACATTTTGGTGCTGTTTTTTAACGTACTATCATTTCATTTAATAACATACTGTATATATTTCTATTGTAAGTTCCATTTAGTTATTTCCTTTCCATTTTATAGTATACATTCCTCCAGTAAGCAAATACTTTTTCTTTTACTTTACATGTTATTTCCAATGCTCTGTACAATGCCTGGCAAAAAGGAAACTTTTAATTAACAGATTGGTGAATGTTAAATAAAATGGGAATCTGTTTGTAATTCCAAATAACTTAGTGAATAAAGAAAGTGTAAGTATAGTCAATAATAATTGCCAAACAGGTAGGTAATGTGTTACTAATACGAGAGAATCTTGTTATATTAAAAATAATTTTCTTCATGTTGGCATTTGTCAAGGCAATAATTGTAATTCTGTATTAATTTTGTTTTCCACTCTTTTGACCTTTGAGATTAATAATCACCCAAGGCTTTGCATGTTGATCAAATAATGCTACAGTCTTTTCACTAGAAAGAAATAATACAAAGGGTTAATTCATTCTACTTTATTTTTTTCCTTTTCTCCTTCTTTTAAAGATATGTAACTTCTTTGTCTGATCTCCTGATGGTCCTTGTCACAACTCTGAAGCTTTTAATCACTCATAACATTCAGTGACTTACAGCGCTGCTGGAACCTTAATAATGTTCTCGTTTGTTTGGTTGATCTTCCTGATAAAATTCTGACAATCTCTCAGTATAATGGGGAGACAATCAAAATAAAAAATGCTCTAAGAGTTCAGCTAGTGGAGCACACTATTATTTTTCACATTGCGCAAGGATATTAAAATACTGACTTTCACACTTTTGATAGAGTTGGTGATGAAATCCAAGAAAAATTGAAAATTTGAATTATTCTACCACCAGTAGGGACTGTATATCACACACAGAAAGCAAGCATATGTAATGTACTGTGGTAGCAGAGCATCAAAGAATCAGGCTGTCCCCTTCTTAATCATTTTTTGTAGGCAATCCTAAGCAATTAATCCATGGCAGAGCTCTTTTATATTTTCAGGACTTTCTCAAAATCATAAAATGTCATCTTTAGTCGTACGTATTTGCATAATTAATAATAATCCCTTATAGTGATCGAGTGTCAGATTTTTCAAGGTGCTTTCCATTAAATTATCTCATTTGACTCAATAGCCCTCTGAAGTAAACAATGGATTTTTATAATTCTCCCACCTGAATCATACTTTAAGCCTCTTCCCCCATCATCATTTCCCCATTTCTCTTTCTTTCTTTTACAGGAGGTAGTCTGATATGGAGGAAACAGCACAGTGTATGAATTCTGGTATTAAACCTTGCCTCATTGAATTACTTTGACATTGAGGAGATAAGTTTCATTCCACTGAATGTTGGGTTCATAATGGGAAAACTAAGAATCATGATAAAATCTGTTCCCCCAAAGTTGTGAGGATTAAGTCAGATAAAATAAGAACAATGAAAGGTTGGTTAGCTTCTTTGAAGGGCAGCTTGGGAAAATGGAAGAGGAGCAGACCTGGGGGTCGCTACTTTGTAATTGTAGCACCTGAACTAGTTCTCTAACCATTTGGAGCTCTATTTTCTTTTATGTAAAATGGTCATAATGCCTATCTTGTGGAGCGGTTGAAAAACAAAATAATATATATGCTGATGTTAGCATAGCTCCTTATGTGTTACCATGTTCTCCAAGAGCATATTCTCTTCTTTTCTCCCTTTCCCTCACTTCCTGCTCTGCTTCATTTCTTTCTACTTTCTTTTCTTCTTCCTGTCACCAATATGAGTGGCAGAGAAGGCAGGAAGCCTGACTGCTGAATCATGGGAGCTCATAATTGAAAAAGTGTATCACATTAAAATGGTCTCCTGCAAACACAGAGGCTTCCTTTGAAGAGAACATCCCTTCCTGTCATGTTTTGGAAACTACACTGATTTCTGAAAATTTTGCGCTGTACAATTTGGAAATTGCTGATGTAGCCCATGTTCTAATTTTACAGATGAAGGAACTGAGTTTCAGAGAAATTGAGTGACTTGCGTGTCAGAGTTTGCAAAGCTGGTAAGTCTAGAGCTCCGTTGTTTTTGCGTTTCTTCTGTTGATTTGTTTATGAAGTAAAGGTACAAAATCTAAATGTAGATGGTGAAAACTCCTCTGTATAGGCAGTGTATGGTCTGTTTGTGTGGATGGAATGAACATATAAAGATGAGGGGGGCTGATGAAATAGCTCAGGGGACTAAACTCAGCCCCTGTGCTTGCCTAAACAGGCGCTTAGTCCCCTGAGCTATCTCACCACTCCCCCTCATCTTTATATGTTCATTCCATCCACACAAACAGATGATACCTGGTCACAATTTTAGTTAGTTTTAATTAATTCAAATAATCTGTAATGATTGTTTGATGATTTGAAACGGAATTAGAGAGATCACATGGGACACTGCACCAAAATCTAACTCAGGATAGAGAAATTATGGCTTTGACTAGTGACAAGTACTAGAGAAACCCAAGTGTTTTAGGCATAGTTAGGAAAAATGAGATTAAAATGAGTGGAAGAAAGGTTCTCTTTAAGGGCCAGCCAAATAGCTCAGTGGATTAAAGCACCTGCTTAGGCAGCCACAGTGGCCAGGGTTCGATCCCCGGCAGGCTATGCCAGCCTGGGCATGCTGAGCCAGTGATTGAGACTGGGTGTGGTGGCTTGTGCCTGTAATCCCAGCTCTGTGGGAAGCTGAACACAGGCAGATCACTAC